TGACGAACGCGGAAGCGCAGGGGAGAGATCAAAACAAAACAACGTTCACTAATTAGAAGTACAAAACGAGTATTTGTAAAGAAGAATGTCGGAGGATTTCTATATAAGCCAAGAGGAGACTGTTTTTCTTTGCTAAAGTAAGGAAACTTTGCTTCCTTTGCTCCTGTAATCAAACGTTGGTTTTCACGAGACCTCATACGTCATTCCCCCAGAGCTGCTTCCGTGTTGGACTGTTGGCACAAGCTACATTAAAGTGATTATTACGTTTTGAATATGGATATTTTTCGTACAAAAATGCATCAATTTGCTACAGGAGGCCTTTGTTCACCCCCCGGAGCCGTGTGAGACACTTTTAATTATGGATGGGCGCTTTTTATTTAACTTCTTTTGGACTGATGCATGCAACACCCGCTGAGTGACATTAAACAGCTTGAAAGATCAAAGACAATTTTTAATATAACTCCGACTGGATTCGTCTGAAAGAAGAAAGTCATATACACCTAGGATGACTTGAGGGTGAGTAATTTGTGGGCTAATTTTCATTTTTGGGTGAACTAACCCTTTAAGAGCATTTTGCTCACTCACCATCATTGCTCTGCAGGGTTTTTCCCCCTCACATATTACTACTTGCAAGCTTATAAACTGTCAAAAAGCCTTTAAATTTTGTACCGTTTCATCTGTATGATAGCAGATTCACTACCAGTTAACAGAATGAAATAATTGAGATTGCCTTAATATTTTTGAAAGAAATCTATTATGCTCACCAAGGCTGCATTTATTCGATACAATAAAAACAGTAACATTTTGAAATATTATTATGAATTACAATAATGGTTTTCTATTTGAATATATATTCAAATGTAATTTATTCCTTTGATGTAAAGTGGAATTTTCAGCATCCATATTCCAGTTTTCAGTGTCACGTGATCTTTCAGAAATCATTCTGTGTGTTTAATTGATGCATTAAGTTGATCAAAAGTGACAGTAAAGACATTTATAATGTTACAAAACATTTCTATTTTAAATGAGCTGTTCTTTTGAGCTTTATATTCCTGAAAAAAATGTATCATGTATTTCACAAAAATATTAAGAAACACAACTATTTTCAACAATGATAATAATGAGAAATGTGTCTTAAGCAGCAAATCAGCATATTAGAATGATTTCTGAAGGATCATGTGATACTGAAAACTGGTGTAATGATGCCAAAAATTTAGCTTTGTATCACAGGAATAAATTAAAATTTCAATTGTAATAATATTTCACAATATTACCGTCTTTACTATTTTTTTATCAAATAAATGCATCCTTGGTAAAAATAAGAGAATTCTTTCAAAAACATTAAAAAACGTAATTAAAAACCCTTTTCCTGGTACAGTTATGAAACTGTATCATATACTATTGTAATACCAGAGCACTTGATGTATACCACGGTACTGAATGATTACCAGGCATACAGCATGTGGCTTGTTAATGTCACTGATGTCATTCTACATGTTTCTTCTATTAGTAATCAACCTCTTGGAGGTTCTTAACGTCACTCGCTCTACCCGCGGGGTGTCTAAGGTCAAAGGTCGTGACCCAAAGACGCCGGCCTGGCGTTTCCGTTCCAACACGCCTCATCTCAAACTACCCCAGACATTTTTGGACTACCTCTTCAACACCTCACAGGGCGTCCTGGGTTTGCACCTGGTGGGCCGTCAGAGCAGAGGCTCGGAGGCCACCCTCATCTCCTTCACCTCCTCCACCTTCCTGCAGAATGGCGATCGCCCCCTGCTGGAGCTCATCTCCAACACAAAAGCAGACAGGCTGCAGCTGGAGTTCAGGTCAGCGGACGGCATGCAGCCGGAGGTGCTTAAGTTGCCCGCCGGGAGTCCCTTTACGAGCAGAGGTTGGGTGAGAATGGCTCTGAGTGTGGAGCCCAGGCAGATGGTGCTGTATGTGGACTGCCAGGATGCCGTGGTGCTCAAACTGAAAGAAGGGGGACGAATCCTGACTCTGGACTTCCCACATGATCTGCAGGTTATTTTCTCCAGCACTGCAGGAAAAAAGGCCAGCAAGTTCAGTGTGAGTTTACTGATACAAACAAATATGTACCTACATACTAGTGTATCTGGACACCTAAAAATTTGCCATTTTTTGACTTCTAATCAACTGATCCCAATGGGATTTTTAGTAAATTTATAAAGTCAGTTCTCCTCAAGTTCACACGGGTGTTGAGAATAACTACTGGTGAAGTTTTTCACACTAACTACACTATAAAAATTTGGTGTAGGAATTACTCTATTGGGTCATTCTGTGTCAAATCAACCAAATTTCAAAAACTTCCCAAGCTCAAATTTTTGATTTTGCTAATATTTTTTTCTGAAGAAAGATAAACGTATATAGTGATGAAAGCTAAAATATTAAATGTCATGGATGGATATTTACTAAGCAATCCACTGTTTTGTTGAAGGGGGTCAAAATGCCATTTTTCACCTGAGATTCAGAGCCATCAGAGCCAAGTGAAAAAATGACTTCAGCAAGATGGCAGCATCATAATTTTATTTTACACAAATTGGTAGAATTGGTAGGAAAATCAGTTTACTTTAGCTGTCTTTGTTGCATTGTGTCAATGGTGACCATTCAAAAACGGGGAAAGAACACTTTTCAAGATTTTTTTCTCCAAAGTTTGCATGACTGTAACTCAAGAAGTTTTAGATATTGGGGCTTTCTTTACAAACGTTCCTTTTGGCATCTTCATTTTTAAGGCCCTGTATAGTTCAGTTCCAGAGATATTGGAATTTCAATATGGCTCCAGGAGTAAAACGTTAATTTGCACAAATTTTCAGTGGTCAAAAACCAATTGTAGGAATGTCTGCAGAACAAATAATGTTGAAACCAGTGGTGTATAAAGTACCTGAAAGTCATACTCAAGTAAAAGTACAGATATCTTACCAGAAAATGACTTTGATAGAAGTTGAAGTCACCGTTTAGAATATTACTTGAGTAAAAGTCTTAAAGTATGTGATATTTATTGTACTTAAGTACAAAAATTATTTTTTTAATCTTAAACGTACTTAAGTATTGAAAGTAAAAGTACAAGTAAATGCAAAATGGAAAAGAAGCAAACAAATATATATATATAAAAAAATGTTCATACACAGCTTGAGTAGCAAGATTGTGTTCAGTTTTAACGCTTTCATCCATTTTGTATTTTTGGGTAAGAATAAGAAGCACTTCATCCGGTACTTAAGTGTCTTTCATTCCAACATAAGAAAACATTTCGGAATCTGTATCTGAAATAGCATTTAGATGTATTTACACAGTTTA